GGAAGGCTGTGTGGAGCTGGCACAGACCGGGGGGCTGTGCTGGGAAGAACATTAGGAAACAAACCTAGGAAACGGCCTCATAAAGTATTTGGCAACAGAATCCCCTGGTACGCTCCAGAAGCTGGGAGGAGTTGGACCATCCATCCTGGCGGCCTGACAGATCTCTCTGGAAGGGATGGTATTAAAATGGCTCTGCAAGCCAGGCGTGGTGGCGCATGCCTGTCATCCCAGCACTCGGGAGGCTGAGGCAGGAGGATCATTGCGAGTTTGAGGCCAGCCTGAGCTACAAAATGAGCTCAAGGCCAGCCTGAGCTGCATAGCGAGACCCTGTCTCAAATAAATACTTAAATAAAATGGCTCTGCATCAGAGATGCTGGGTCAGCCCTGCGCTCGTCCGTGCCCAGTGCTGCCCGCTGCCTCCATAACCAGCAAGGTGCTACCCCACGCGGGCACACCTTCTGCCTGGCCACAGCCATCCAAGCAGCCAGCAGACGTCCCTCCTCTCGTTCTGACTGAGGTTGCAGCCTTGGAACAAAACACAGCATTATGATAACGTGTTTGTTTGTTCATTTAAACATATGTTTAGAACTGCAGAAAGTAAAATGCAATAGTGCTCTGCATTTGAGCACTCAGCCCTAGAACTCAGATCCTTGCCTAAACTTGCTAAGGCCTGAAGCGAACCCCCAACTCCACTCTGAGAACAATGGGCTCCTTCCTCGGTTGCAGGCTGGGATCCACAGCTAGTTGTGTTTGAACTTCTTTCTTCCAAAGCCTGAGATCCTGGAAAACTCAGTTCTCTTCATCCCCAACACATAGCTCAGTCACCGGCAACAAGCAGGACGTCAATAAATAATTGCTCAAAGAATGAGTGAGTAAAAGAACAAATGAATATGGGTCAACCCACATATGTATGTGTGTGTGCTTAATTTTTGCTGGTTATACCAGAGACTCAAATATGTTGCAGTTCTGATCTATCTACCAGAATGATTTCTCTTGGGAATAGTATGTGGACTTGGGACCCACAGTTTTTGCTCTGCTGAGGTAGGAAGCTGTCCCTGGATCCAATAAGAACTGCAGATCCAAGCCAGGCGTGGTGGCGCAGGCCTGCAATCCCAGCACTTGCAAGGCTGAGGCAGGAGGATCGTTGTGAGTTCGAAGCCAGCCTGGACTACAAAGTGAGCTCAAGTCCAGCTTGAACTGCATAGGAAGACACTGCCTCAAAAAGACAAAAAAAAAAAAACCCTGCAGCTTCAACAACCAGGGAATAAACAAAGGACGCCTCCAATAAGCAAGAAGTGAAACAGCAGTGCTCGGGTCAGCTCGGGTCAGAATGTCTTCGTGCACCTGGGGCAGGAAGAGTTTGTTCTGATCCTCTGGGCACGGCTCTGTTCCTAGACCCGGTGAGTCACGTGATTGATGGGCAGCGGCTGGCACGGCCTGCGGCCTGCTCCCCTTCGCGCACTGGGCCTCCTCTTGCTTCTGAGGGACACTCCAGATGGAGCTTCCCACACCCTCTGACTGGAAGAATTTAAGGAATGCGAATGTTCATGGAGTTTCCTCTCGAAGGCCCCACTCTTGGAGGCGCACCCACCTGGTGTGGGTCTCCCAGGTACTTCAGAACCCACAGTGTGCCCATTCCAAGCCCTTCCCACTCTGCCCTGCCAGACACCTCTCAGCCCCGTGCCCGGGTGTCCTCTTACATGTGGTAACCCACGCTCACTCATTTCCCCCGTGCGTGAGCCCAAGGTTCTCACAGAAATTTGCCCTCACTGCCAAGGTCATTCAATACAATGAAAATGGAGAGCCAAGACACGAGGCAGGTAACCTGAGGTCTGAGCACGTTCTCACAGCGTGCTGGCACCACAGACTGGCCGAAAGAGAAGTCCCAAACATCTTAGCCAAGCAGAAAGCAAATAACATCTCTTCCAGGGCAATGTAAGACTATAGTAGGCTTCAACCTGACTTCTTTCCTAATAGGAATTAAAAATTGGCTGTGCATGAAAAAAATTCCAATTAACAGCAGCTTTAGCATATAGGATCTCAGTTTCACAATTCAAACAGGTGAGGAAGTAGCCAGATAGAATTAACGTGCACTGTTCCATGAGGTTCTTTCTGCTTTTGCCATTGTCTTCCCTAGTGGTGACCCTGATCCTCCAGTATAAAGTGGCTGCCAGAGCTCCAGCTATCATGCCCATGTTTCAGGTAGCAGGAGACATCCCAGAAATGTCTCACAATACTTTCACTTATTTCATTAGTAGAATTTGATCATCTGATTGATATAGGGGAAAGAAACTCCCAACCTGAAAGATATCTGGGATGAGTTTGTGTTCCCTAAAATAGAAGAATGAATTTTAGGAACAACGGAGGGTAAGAGCAGAGCATATTTATTGAGGTAAAGAAAGCTTCTGTCTGAGAGAGGGACAGAAGTGGGGCCCGAGTGGGTTACCCAGGGAACCTGCCTTTTCCAAGGATTTTTATAGAGCAAAACCACAAGGTGAGGCAGGTCCAAGGTGGGTGGGATGGGAAATCACAGGGTGGGTATGAGGTGGGACAAAACTATGGTCAGCCTATAAGAATTGTTCAGGTAAAATTGATTAAATCAGGATCAAACAGGGAAGCGAGTCATATAGCAAGCTGGGCATGAATACAGAACAGGAGCTATTCACGTAAGGGGCTGGGTCAGTGACTCTTCAAGGTGATCTGTAGACTATCAATCCCTGATGTCCACCCCTAGGGAAGCATGTGGGTGCATTTGTTTAATCTTTTGTCTTGAGGTCTGGCCCGCAGCAGGTACGTCTCCATTTGCCAGGTATCTTATATTCCATATTGGCTCCTTCGAGGGCCTGAACATGTCTGACTGCCTATAATATTTCTATCTAACTCGGCTGCCTATCACATGATCACACCCAACTGTAATGGAGATGAAGAAATATAGTCTGTATTCTAGGAATCTAGAATGTGGAGCCATCTACAAGACGACTAACTGACTGACCTCTTCAGAGGTTACCATTCTGGATTAAGAGCAACTAATATGACATATGTGTTAGATTGGTGCCAGGTTAAGCAAGAGACAGAGGTAGATAAAAAGCCTTTACTGCCGGCGCTGGAGGGTTGCAGAAGATTGCAAGGACCCTGGGAGGGAGCTGGGGCATGGGTTTTTATTAGATTGGAGAAGAGGTGGAGTTAATATGGGCAGGCACTGTGTCATTTCTCAAGGGGATGGGGAGTTAGTAGGAAGTTTATCTCAGGGTCTGTGGAAGAACAAAGTGTGTGTCCTGGCCAGCGCCATTGTTGGGATTCTAGATGTCAATCAATATGGATGAGCCTTGCTTAACTACGGAAGACAATATGAAGACAATAGGCGGAATCTGAATACGTACTCAGTGTGAGATGATATTAGAGAACCATGGTTAATTTTCTTGGGTGTGGTTATAGAATTGTGGCTCCATAGGAGCATGCACTTCTTCTGAGATAATATAGCCCCGCAGGACTCAGGAGTGAATAAAAAGATAATATAAATTAGGTGGAGAAGATCAATAGAACAAACAGAGAAAAGGCAGTAAGTACTGAGTCTGCGTGGAAGGACTGTGGATGTCATATTCTCTCACATTTTCTCAATGTCCCATTTCTTACAGTGAAAATCAGGGGAGCGTACTCTTTCTCACGTGAGGCTGAACGCTGCCTCGTGGCGGGAGGGCATCACAGTCCTGCAGGTGCTCCGGAACCAGTCAGTGCCAAGGGCCTGTGAGCCGCGGCGTGGATCCCCTCGGTCCCAGCCCCAGTGTGTCCCAGAGCCCGGGGGGCAGAGGAGAGAACATTGCATCTCAGCCCTCAGCTCCTCAGAGAAGCTTCCCTCATCACCCAGGAGGCGGCAAACAGCAAAGACCCACAAATCCCACCACCTGCTGGTGATAGCACCATGGTGCGAACACACAATGCACGCGAGCACCTTATACAGAGGAGGCCGTGCAGATGGGGACACTGCCAGAGAGAATGGAACAGATGCAGACTTGAGACTGGGAGACTGCGTCCTCCCTCTCCATTTCTGCCCATGTCACATCAGCGCAGGCATTCCACCTCAGTTACGGGCATAATACTTAGCCCACAGGGTCGCTTGTGTCAAGTAAGACTATGTGTGTGATCTGCCATAACGGTACAAGACGGAGGGCAAGAGGACTTTGTTTGTCCAGTAATTCTGCTTCATTCTATTAGGTTCCTATGCAGTTATCCACAGACGCTGGGGCCAAGTGAACTTTTCAAGATTCCCTAATGATGATGGTTTTTAAATAGCTGCACAAATTCTTTGCCATTCCTCTTGTCAAAAGTGGAAACTAGCTGGATGTGGTATGCACACCTGTAATCCCAGTACTTGGGAGGCTGAGGCAAGAAGATCACTGCAAGTTCGAGGCCAGCCCTGGCTACATAGTAAATTTAAGGCCAACCTGAAATGTATAACAAAATCCTGTCCCAAAGAAACAAGCAAAAGGGGCTGGTGATTTAGCTCAGCGGCACAGTGCCTGCCTGGCAAGAGTGAGGTCATGAGTTCAATTCCTGGTACCGGGGGAAAAAAAAAAAAAACAAGCAAAAAAGTGGAAACCAGGGGTTTGGAATGTAGCTCAGGGATACAGCAGCACTTGTCTAGCAAGCATAGGACCCTGAGTTTGATCCCCTGTACCAAAAAGGAGGCGGGAGTATAAAGTAATCTCCCTTCCCTACAGTGGAGAGCTGAACTAGTGCCCAGTTAAAATGGAATGTCAGATAAACAAGGAATAAACTTTTAGTGTAAGTGTATCCTGTGCATGTGTGAGACAGACCTCTACTAAATATATTGGGTTTTTATCTGACATTCAAATTGAATGGAGCATCTTATTGTTTTCATTTGCTTTGCTGAAACTGGCAGCCCTGTTCTAACCAAGGGAATGGATGTGGCTAGCACAATAGAGTGGCTTCCGAGACTGAGTGCTAAGAGGCCCTGACGCTTCCACCTGGCTGTGTCTCAGGTCACCGTTCTGGGAGACGCAGGACACCAGGTTGTGAGGACACCAAGCAGCCCCATGGAAGGCTCCACCGGCCCTGCCCGCTGATCACCAGCACCACCTCATCAGCCAGGTGAGCGAACATTCTAGGCAGTGGGGTCCCCCACCCCAGGTCAGCCTTGGCCACAGCCCCAGCCTCTGTCTGCGTTGCCACCTCCTGAGGACCCTGAGCCAGAGCCACCGCCCAGCCAAGTTGCTTCTGCATTTCTGGCCCGGGGTTGCTATGTGCTAGTCAGTGATGGCTGCCTCAACCTGCTGCATTTCAGAGGCTCCAGCCCAACCCTGGCTGCCATGGGGCTCTGCAGAGTGTTCACCACCTTTCCCAGGCTCTGGCTTTTGTCCTTAGACCCCATTCTACCACCTCCTTCAGTCAGAGGCCCCGGGCAAGTTTTTCTAAAAGCATTTTTATAAAGGTAACTGCACTTCATTGGAAATCAGTCTGTTCAAAGGAAATGAAGTTCTGAAGAAATAGAAAAATAAAGGGAAAGAGAACTAATGATACTTTCCAGAAGCCCCAGGAGGACCCTGGCTCACACCAGGAGGAAACGCCTGGGCCGGGCACCCCCCCACTCCCCTGGCATCATGGTTTGGGGAACTCACTTAACCCCTCGAAGCCCTAGTTTTATCTGGAAATACAGGCATGCTAACACCTACTCACAGGACTTTTGGGGGTGAGTGAAAATATGAAAAATGATAGCTACCATTTATCGATGTGTTGGATGTGCTGAGCACGGTTCCAAAGATACCACACTTGATCCTCATAGTAACCCCTCGCTCTGAGTGCTGCCCTCGCCCCCTCTCCTCCCTTTGGGAACCTGAGGCACACACAGTTTAGTTAGTAACTGCATGCCTGGCGCTGGGCGGACCTCTTACTCAAGGTTGCTGTTAGGCTCTCATCTGCTCCTCTGAACCAGTTTTGGCAGAGGAGGAAATAGGGCCGCAGTGAGATGAGGCAAATCTTCCACGGCTGACTTGGGTCTCCGCTCCCGCCCTCCATCCACAGGGAGGCACGACGCCAACAGCGTAGCACCTGGCGCTCTCCTGACCCATGCTAGGCTGGGCGAGCGGTTCTTCCGAGGTGCCCTCACCCGCTGCCGGTGCTCCTGCTGATGGGAGACCCTAATCACCGCTGTGAGTCGTACGGACCTAGACAGGAAGCCAAATTTACATCGGGCCGGCAAAACAACTTCGATGGACTGGTCTAGTCTCAGCTTGTATTTTACAAACTGGAGATGCCTCATTAAACACACCAATTCCCCCTTCTCTTATCAGATCAAATGCCAGCTGGCCCTCCTTGGTGCTGGGTCCCCTTCTGGGTGGAGCCACTGAGATCTGAGCCCAGTGGACCCTCCGCGTCCTGCACACTTGAGTTTCCCGCCAAGAGGCAGAAGCTGACGCCACCATGTACCATGTGAGTATCCAGGTTCTGCGCTTGGCCCCCAAAGTGGAAGCGATCAAACCAGCTGTGCTCCCCGTCGTAGAGTCCAGCTGTCCCCAGTGTTCTGCTTGTCCCTGAGCCCCCATGCTAGTGGCAGACCTGATGGCCTCCCTGGGTAACTGGACAGAGGAGGATTGGCTCCGAACCCGGCCCAGACACAGCCAATCTGAAGATCAACAGGGAGATGGGGTTTTTCAAAACACTGTGTGTGTGTGACCTGATGTGTCTGCCCTTGAAGGAAACCTCTGCTCAGAGGAACGTGGCCCTGCCCGTCCCAGAGCCCAGCCTGTTGTAGGTCCCGCTGATGGAGGAGAGGCAGGCGTGCCGCTGAGATGAGTGAGAAGGGCTGGACCTTGGGCAAATGATAGCCTTTCTTACACACACACACACACACGCACGCACGCACGCACGCACACAGAAAGAAATAGAGCTGGATGTGGCTGTCACCCTGTCTGCAGCCCAAAGCCACTGGCTAAACCCTGCATACCTTTGCGTTCTCCTCAGAGGGAGAGCCACAAGCAAGTTATTCCCAGTGGGAAGGTGGAGAAGAAAGGACAGCCATTCACAGCCCATTACTTCGAAGTTCCGCTGCCAAGCAGCAGGAGGAAAGAGACTCTGGAACAAAGCTGGAGAGACAAGGCAGCAAGTGGGACAGTGCTCTGCGACGGCAACTCGGCAGTGCTATCCACATGTTCAGTGCTCAGAGCCTTTGCTGAGCAGCCCCGCTTCTGGGCTGTGCAGAAACCGCAGAAGAACAGCATACAACGCACACAGCCACTGCAGCCTGCTCGTGATGGGCGAAACCAAAGCAGCCCCCGTGTTCACCATAAGCAAACACTGAGGTCCTAGCGCTTGTAGAAACCAAAGTGCTGCTAGAAAGACGGGGTGGACTTGGGCACTGACAGTGACAGACTCACTCACTGCTATGGAAAAGAGCACGCTGCAGAATACAACTCACTACCTGCTTGGGGGTATTTACCTGCTGCAAAACTGGCAAGCAGTGCCCATTAGGGGCTCCACAAAAAACGAGTGAATGGTAGAGAGTATTGGGAATTCTACACACCACTCCACACACTGCCCTGCGGCCCAGGGACGCCTGCAGGATGTAAGGAGAAGAGCCTGCCCTGCCTGCGTAAGGACCCCACCCAGAGCCTGAGTCCAGGCCGGAGAAAGCACCAGCGAACACAGATGAGGGGCTCGCTACACAAAACTGGCTACTGTCTTCAAAGGAGTCCAGGGAACGAAGTCAAGGCCAGAGAGGAACTTTTCTAGACACAAGGAGACTAAAGAGACTGGACTGGACATCATTACAACACAGGACATTACTGGGACAATTGGCTAAACAAAAAACTGGCCTTGCCAGGCATGGTGGCACACACCTATAATCCCAGCACTCAGGAGGCTGAGGCAGGAGGATCACTGCAAGTTCAAGACCAGCCTGGGCTACAAAGTGAGCTCTAGGCCAGCCTGAACTGCAGTGAGACCCTGTCTCAAAACGACCGAAAAAAAAAACTGGCCTGTATTCGATTTTATGGTGATAGTGTGTATGTAAGATTGAACCTAGGGCCATCTCACTGAGCCCATCCCCAGCCCTTTTCTGTTTTTTGAGACAGGGTCTCACTAAGTTGCCCAAGCTAGGTTCCAACTCGCCATCTGTGGTGGATTAACAACTGGTGGTCAACTTGTAACCCCCAGCTGAACTGAGTAAGCGTGGTGCTGGGAGTGGGAGGCCCACCTGGGGACTGTTGCCAGCAGCGTAAGAGGCAGAACGGAGAAGAAGGAGGAAGGCTGTCGGGAGCTGGTAGAGGCTGTAAGGAGCTCTTGGTTCTTTTGGAGGAGCTCGTCATGCTGGCTTTCCTGATGAACTTGGCTGTTTTCATCCTCTGAGGAGCTCGGGACCTTGTTGGCACTGAGAATAGCTTCAGTTCACTTTGGGGGAGCTCTGGTTCTCACTCCGACATCGCTTCCTGGCGCCGGAAGGGAAGATGATGCACAGCTCAGTCTCCTGGAGAAGCTTGCTGCATTGGGTTTCCTAATAGGAACTCAGCTGTTTTCACCATTGGAGGAGCTCGGGACCTCACTGTGGCTGAGGATGGCTGTGGCACTTTTCAGGGGAGCCCTGGTTCTTATTTTGAGCGCCACTTCCTGGCTCCAGTGCAGATCCCTCAGTCTGCTAGCACAGATCCCTCATTGCACTGGCAGACTTTCTAGATTCCACCATTGACCTTTGGGCCTTCCCAGCGCAGATTCATGAAACAGGCCTGCATGAGATATTGTTATAGGCTCCATGTCTTCAGCTGAACTCATGCAGGACATTATTGTGGGATCCAGGCCCTCAGCTGGATTCTTTGGTCTTTAGTGTATGGACAGATTTCCTGCACTCTCTTGTATATGATTCTTTGGGTGACTATTATAAATAATCTTATAAAATATATGTCCTGTATTATATTGTTCCCCCTGCAAAAACCCCAAAACCAACACATCATCCTCCTGCTTCCGTCTCCTAGAATACTGGAATTACACGTGTGCACCACCATGGCCAGCCTGTATTTATTTTCTATTGGTATGTACTACAAATTTAATCCACTTATGTCAAAGATGGCAATTTTTTAAAGTTTTGCATGAAATTCATATATCTTACCTACAAAAACTCAAGGAATAAGAATTTAAAAGAGAAAAAAAGTTCATTATGCTTCATTGTAATGGGCATTCCAAAATGGAACACTAAGAATTGAAGCATAAATTGTTTGAGGGGAAAAAAGTGCCCATCTATTGCCTCACAGTTCAGCATGTGAGAAGTTGAGCAGGCTCAGCTGAGTTCTTTGCTCACCGTGTCCCAGGGTGACATCCAAGTGTTGGTGGGGGTGGTTTATTATCCAGAGGCTGAGGGAAGAATCTGCTTTCAAGCTCATTCAGGTCATTCGCAAAATCCCTGTCTGTAGTACTGCATTTGTCAGCTTTCTGTTCCTGGAACAAAATGCCTGACATATACAATTTAAAGGGTTTATTTCGGCTTATGGTTTCAGAGTTTCAGTCCATGGTCAGTTGGCCCCAAGACAAACATCATGACAGAAGGGCGTGATGGAGGAAAGCTGCTCATCTCATGCAGTAGACAGGGATGGAAAGAACCAGGAAAAAAGGGTCAGGGACCAAAGATAGCCCCCAAAGTCACACCCCTGTGACCCACATAGACAGAAGTGTGCTTTACTAATCTCCTAAGTACCTTGAGAGCCAATCGTGTTGACACTCTTACCAACTCAGCCAGAATCCTGACTGAAGATTAGACAGAAGTAGTGTAGCACTGAGAGACACTGCCGTGATAGTCAGAGTGTAGTTACACAGGAGGATGGACTCACTTGCAGGATTCACTAGCATATTTAAGGTGATGGACCATCAGATGAGCACTGTATTCTCATATGATTCAGTGTGAAGAAGGTTGTGTACTGTGCTTTAGACTTTTCTGTACATGTGTGTGCAGATAAACTAAAAAGGCGGATACCTGTGGTATGTGCATTTATGTACACAAAGAAAAACATCTGGAAAAAGCCAGCCAAGGTGGTGCAGAACTTGATCCCAGCACTTTGGGAAGTTGAGGCAAAAGGATCATAAGATCCAGCTCGGCCTGGGCAGTTTAGTGAGATCCTGTTTGGAAATATAAAACAGAAAGCGCTGGGGACATAGCTCAGTGTGAAGGTCCTGGGTTCAATCCCGTCACCCCCACAAATCTGGAAAGTAGGTACAAAATTTAACTTGATTAACGCTGGAAAGTAGGACTGTTTCAGGAGAGAGATGTGGACAACTTTTATTTTGGGGTTTATATATAATCTTCCATATTGGTTCTTTTGTTTTGTTTTGTCTTTTGTCTTTTTGAGACAGGGTCTCGCTATGCAGGTCATGGTGGGCTTGGACTCACTTTGTAGCCCAGGCTGGTCTTGAACTCGCAACGATCCTCCTGTCTCAGCCTCCTGAGTGCTGGGATTACAGGCATGTGCCACCACACCTGGCCTCATATTTTTTATATTTATTGAATCTATAAAGTACAAACCAGGAAAAGATGTTTGAAAAGCACAGTGAGAGAGTAGGCTGGCTCCTCAGCAGAGAGGGAAAGGGCAGTGGCTGAGCCCACATGAAGCAATACAGAGACACGTGACATCTTAGCTCCGCTGCAATTACAGGCTTTGCACGGAGCTGCTGAGAAATCAGATTTACAAAACAATCTGTCCCGAGGTGAGGGCAGAGGTGACTGCTAGGCATAAAGCACAGCCAGACTCCCTGGCAGCTCCCAGACACCGTTCCAGCTTCCCACAGCACCCGCTCGCTGGTCAGTGTTGAAAAGATGAACATTCCTCCACGGTGGTAGCCAGTGACTAGGGCTCATGAGCCTGTTGTCTAATGTCACCATTAGACAACCTGTGACACCTGTGACACCTGCATTTGAGAGGCTGAGGCAGGAGGAGCTCAAGTTCAAGGCCAGCTTGGGCTACACAGGGGGGGACAGGAGATTGCCCTTGAAAACTTGTGTGCAAATGGCATGCTGAGTCACCCACATTAGTAAAGCCGGAGGCAGGGATATGTTTCCTATTGTGGATTACTGTGTCCCCTGGATTACGCTGAAGTCCCAACCCCCAGTTCCTCAAAAAGTGGTATTTGGAGGCAGCACCCTCACAGAGGTAAGCAAGTGAAAGAGGCCATTAGGATGGGACCGGATGTATCTGACTCATGTCTTTATACAAAGGGTAGACTAGGACATGGAGAGAAGTAGCAACTTGGAAGGCACAGGGAGGGGGCGGGGATACAGCTCAGCGGTACATCGCCTGCCTGCCAAGCATGATGTCATGTTTGATTCCCGGTACCGAAAAGAAAAAAAAACACAGGGAAGACCACCATCAACACTCCAGGCGGCGCCCCGGAGCAATCCTTCCCTTACACCTGTGGGAGGTTCCACCCTGCAGCCATCTTGGCCTGACTTCCAACCTCCCAAAGGGTGAGACAGTACATTTCTGTGGTATGAGCCACCCAGTTCATGGTACTTTGCTAGGGCAGCCCTAGCAAACTAATACGTCTCCCAAAGCCACTGAGCTCTCCTGACAGCCCCAGACTCGCGATTCAGTCTGGAAGAGGCCATTCCAGACAGAGAGCCCCTTGGACACGGTGTGAGGACAGAGCAGTGGCATTCAGATGCGAGTCTCGCAACCAGTTTACCAGCCCTGAGGGTCTACGGGCCCCTCCCCGTGTCCTTCCTTTGCTGTGAGAGGAAGAACACTAAGCCAGGGGTCCCTTTCCTTCTCCTCGTGCCCACCCATTCTCCACTCCGTCATTTTCCGTGAGTAGAGAATAAAGACGCAGCCACAGGCACAGCCAGGGCAAGACTGGGAGAGCCGTGGGAGGCCGTGTGGCACAGCCAGCCGTGTGGTCAGCCTGTGGCTCAAGCCCAGCTTGGCAGCCTCCAAGTGCCCTTGGCAGTATCACAGGTCAGTCAGTCACCTCTCCGCCCCCACTTCCTGTAAGGAGGGAATACCGAGCCCCGGGCCCCACCGCGGCTGCGTCAGTGCTCCGTGGCTATCAGCTGTCTCCTGGGGGCTCCTTCTGCGGGATCACAATGTGGGTCTCAACAGGAACCCCCACTGGCCCGGGACACGGAGCAGAGCTGCCTGTTGCTGCCTCCACTGTAGGAAACGGGCCGTTGTACAGGTTCAGTTGCCTCTGTTAAAATGTAACGCGTGGACACTTTGGTGCTGCCATGATAGCTCTGCATTAAACCCAGGTAGAGGCACAAATACCGGTACCGGATGTCCACTGGTACTTCATGACATGAAAACACTGGAAACCATCCAAGCCATCACAAGAGGGGACTTCGTAGAGCCAGGCATGGTGGCGCACACCTGTGATACCTGCATTTGGGAGGCTGAGGCAGGAGGAGCTCAAGTTCAAGGCCAGGTTGGGCTACACAGGGGGGGACAGGAGATTGCCTAAGTATATGCCACTGGCCAGAACAGCAGACTGACACAAACCAGGGCAAAAATGCCTATCTTATAACAGAAGAAAGGAAGCCACAGAACCATCTTTGTAGTATGTAATTTGTGGAAAAATGTAAAATGACTATAAACATAGAAAACAGTATACATCCCATGCCTAGGCGTAAGTACAAAAAACATACATATACATATTTATGAATGTATATATACAAAATGAATGCTTTTATGCATAGACCTATAACCAAAAAGCAGTTACTCCTGGAGAGTGAAACTAGGAATATCATCATTACCACCTGAATGGCCAAAAAGAACACACACCAGTTTCATAATTTAAAACACGATGTCAATATGCTCAGGAGATACACACCAAGGCACTTAGGGGTAAAGAGTCGTAACAGTTATAACTCATCTTCAAAAGCTGCAGCAACAACAGATAACAAATACGCCTTTGATCTACATCACACGAGAGACAGACAGACGACAGGCAGAGATGCAACGGCGGAGAACGGGAAGGACTGGCGTACCCAAGCGAAGGGTGCATGAATTTCACTGCGTTACTCTTGCAACTTCTGTCTGTATTTGAAATAGTTTCAAAATAAAATTAAAATTAAATAAAGCTCCGATGACAGTCAGGTGGTGGAATGCCACTGCAGGTCCAGGGAGCACAGGCCTCAAAGGACCTGCAGGGTCTGAGTAAAGCCCTGGCCCTCCAGGAAGAGCAGGGAGCTAAACCCAGTTTTAAATGGCTTTATTTCTCCAGCGTCCTTACAACACTGAAGAAGCCCAGGACTCAGGTCCAGGAAGAATCACGAACGTAGCTTGTGGTCTGAGCAAGTGACTGAAAAAGCCTCTGCTGGTTCTGGTGATCCCCATGATGGGGCCTCACAGTCCAGCCAAGCCACAGCTTGGGGGAGGGGACGCGGCTCGGGGCAGAGTCCTCCTCTCCCGATCCAGCCGCAGGGCTCGGCTGAGCTCCCGGGACGGTCCCAGACCCGGCTACCGGAAGACAACGTCCTCACCCCCGATGATCTGCTCCAATGGCGTCTGTGACTCTGCTAAAACCCTGCTCTCTGGAAAGACACAAAACAAAGTACTTTCAGCGAAGATGGAGACAGAGCCTGCTCTTCCAGGAGCCCCAGGTTTGCCCTAAGCACATCCGCCTCCCTCTCGAGGGGCCACCCCACCCCTTGAACACAGCGTGCCCATCCGTGTCCACCCCGCTCTGCAGAGGAGCAAGGAGCCAGCTCTCAGTACGAACTGTTCCTGACACCCGGCGGCATCACTTAATTAACTGCTCCATTCTGCCAGGTTGCTGAATGAGCGGACAGCCCTGCCTGGCCACACTGCGAGCTTGGGGTGAGGCCTGCACTGCCTTGGCACTTCTTGGCCTTTGTCAAGGGAGGAACCAAGTCCGCCCCCCTGCACTCAGGGTCACTTCCCTTCTGCACGAGCACACAGAGGTGCTCCGGCTCGAGTCTTTCCTGACTTCTGCTGCAAGCCCCACGCGGCCCCACTCACTTCAAGAGGGCCTCCAGCTCCCGCTTGACCCGGCCCACCACGGGCGGCCCCCCGTAGGTGAGCGCTGTGTAGAGCTGCACCAGCGAGGCCCCCGCCTGGATCTTGTCCAGCGCATCCTGCCCGCTGCTCACGCCGCCAACTCCGATGATGGGGACTCTGCCTGCAGAGAAGCACAGGGCGGCACCGGGAAGCGGGCCGTGAGACCGGACCTGGGCCTGGCTGAGGGAACAGGGAGCACCTTCGCCAGCCAGGAGCCCGAGCCACGCACAAGGGAAGACACAGACGGACGGCAGAGGCCTTGCCTTGGGTCAGTGCGTACATCTCCCGGATGGTCCGAGTCGATAAATCGCGGAGGGGCTTCCCGCTCAAGCCTCCCGTCTCAGCGCGCAGGGCACCCCGAAGGCCGGCAGGGCGGCTCACTGTGGTGTTTGTCACAATCAACCCATCAATGCCCAGCTGCAGTGAGAGGCAGGGAGAACTGAGTCGTGGCTCTGAGGGACACAGAGAAGCTTCCCGGGAAGTCCGAGGCAGCCGCTGGGCCAGCACCACACCTACCGCCCCAGAGCAAGAGCTACCGAGGCCTCCCTTCCCACCACCGTGACACAGCAGCCGGCACACACTGCCGCCCACAACACCCGCCGGAAGGGGGTTTGAGCCTTAGAACAATCTGTTTCATAGCGTCTTGCCGAGGGCCTCAGGTAGTAAGTGGAAAAAACAGGATTTGAACCCAGGGAGTAGGGTGTGTGGTGCCTGCACTCAGGAGGCTGAGGCAGGAGGATCACTGCAAGTTTGGGCTACATAGTGAGTTCAAGGCCAGCCTGAACTACATAGCGAGGCACTGTCTTAGAAAGAAAGAGCTGGGCGTGGTGGTGCATGCCTGTATCCCTGCACTCAGGAGGCTGACTCAGGAGGATCGCTGTGAGTTCAAGGCCAGCCTGGGCTACAAAGCGAGCACAAGGCCAGCCTGAACTGCATAGTGAGACCCTGTCTCAAGAAAAGGAAAGAAAGAGAAGGAAGGAAGGAAAGAGAGAGAGAGAAAAACTGAATGCAGGACTGCAGAGCTCAGTGCGTGCTTCTACTATTCTCCACCGGAGGCCTGGTGCGCAGACCAGCAGGAGGAGACGGGGAGACCGACAGCACCCAGGCCCGGCTGGGGCTGCCCGGAGACACAGGACAAGCTACAAAGCTCTTGCTGAACACCAGCAATGGGGGAGAAAGAGGCGTGGAAAAGACCAAACATCGACTCTGTCGTTTTTTACCATGGGGTGAATCATACAACGACAGACACCCAGCCTTTGAGGTCCATGCGGTGGACAATGAAAGGTGCCCTACGCCTGGGCCAGCCCCAGCCGGACCTCTCTCACCACGCTGGCAATGTCCTCCTTGTCCTGGGCCGTGAGGTCAGGGGCGATCTTCACCAGCACCGCCGGCTTCTGCGCCCTCTGCAGGGCGTCCCTCTCCTGGAGCACCTAAGGTGACACGTGACGCAGATGGGGACCCCACACCACCGCCTATCAGCACCACTGAGACCGGATGCTGCAGTCAGCGCTTTCACACAGCCGCAAACTAAAGCCTGATCAACTTCCCAATGCTCGGGTAAAATCTGGTTCTGCTCTTCACCAGGTACCCACTGGCATTAGCTAATGTTGTAAGGATTCTGACTTTTTTCTTGTTTCTTGAGTCAGGGTCTCACTATATAGTTCAGGCTGGCCTTGAATTCACTATGTAGCCCAGGCTGGCCTCGAACTTGCAGTGATTCTCCTGCCTCAGCCTCCTGAGTGCTACCATTGCAGGTGTGCGTCGCCAAGCCCGGCAGGATTCTGAACTTTTGTTCCTAACGTCCCCGTGCTGCCCCAAGCCCCGTGTGAGGAAAAGCCACTGCTTCATGTATTGTGCCAGGTTCTGGGCACAGAGCGATAGTGAGGCAGATGCGCCCCATGCCCATACACCCTAGGGCGTAACAGCAGGGACCGACGAATGAGTAAGTGATTACTATCATACAGAATCGGTGCTGTGCTAGGGGTCAGAGGGTGCTTCGTTCAGGAAGGTGCCACAAGGGCACCAAGCAGTCCAGGTAGGAGGGACGACAGCTTCTCACTGGGGACACCCAAGCTGTGCCCCAGAGAAGGAACAAGCTGGGGAGGGCAGGCTGACGGGACGCGACACAGAGAAGGGGTGTAATACCCACCTTGGTCAGCAGGCGGCGCAGCTCAGCCTTTCCCTGCAGGGAGCGCAGCCCAGGGGTGTTGGGACTGGACACATTCACCACCAGGTAGTCGGCCAAGGGCCCCAGGACCCGAATCCCCTCTGTGTAATCCGCAGCAGCATCCACTGACGTCTTATTCTTCCCCAGGTTTATTCCCAGCGGCAGCCCATCTGCGAAGATCACTGGTCAGATTCTGCCCCGCACCACCCCTGGCACAGCTTTCCGACCAGCCTCTGCCTCAGCAGCTGTGAACTTTCCCACCCCAGCTGCCAGTAGCTGCCAGTGTGGGGAACGACCGCACCAGGCCACTGTCTGAGGCCAGAACACAGCGCTCCATCTTTACAGGCAAAGTGTGGGCGACCATGAGGATGTTCTGCTGCACCTGCTGCACTCTGGTTCAGTTTTAAAAATTAAACGGAAAATGGAAAAATCAGGTGTGCAAATTCTTGATTTAAAAAAAAAAGAGCTGGAGTGTAGTCTAGGGGTGGAGGGTGTGCTTAGCATGCATGAGGCTCTAGATCTGAGCCCCAGCATTAAAAAGGGGGGGCGGGCGTGGTGGCACACGCCTGTAATCCCAGCACTAGGGAGGCTGAGGCAGAAGGATCGTTGCGAGTTGGAGAGCAGCCTGGGCTACATAAGTGAGCTCAAGCCCAGCCTGAACTACATAGCGAGACCTTGTCTCAAAAAGACAAAAAAAAAAAAAAAGGCAGCTCTCATAGATTTACTACGAGAAAAGAGACCTGCGTCACTGGGCTCCTCAGGATGCGTGCAGCTCTTGGCTCAAATGACCAAATGTGCAGTGGTGAAAATACGGTAAAAAGTACAGAGAAAGTACAAAATACCAGGAAGTGTTTTCAATGATCACACCTAAAACATAAAAGCGTAACTGTTCAGTTTATTAGTAGGCACGCGCATACACAATGTCTGCACCTCCTGTGAGGAGCGGTGCGCGTACACAACACAGCTCAGTTCCTTCTCATCCTCTGCCCTGCCCTCCTGTCCCCAGCCCTCAATCCTCCTTTTCCTCTTTGTTTTTAAAACCGTAAGTATTTTATAATTTACAAGTTCAGTTCTCTGAAAAAAGCGACTCCCCTTTCAATCAGGACGCCCATACCTCAGCGCTCCCAGGAAAAGCACCGACTGCTCCCCTCCCTCTCTCAGAAGTGTCTCAGCGGCACTCCAGGGACACAGATACCTTCCTCAAAAGTGCATGTGAAGGGCCAGGCAGACAGCTCAGCAGCACAGTGCCTGCCGGGCAAGTGCAAGGTCCTGAGTTCGATTCCCAGAACCAAAAAAAAAGTGCATGGGAGGGGTGGGGATATAGCTCAGTGCCACCATGCCTGCCTGGCCAGAGTGAGGTCATGAGTTCGATTCCCAGTACCAAAAAGAAAAAAAAACTGCATGTGACTACCAACTAACTTGAGTTTTAAGCCCTAAAATAATACATTTGCAGCCGGTGCACACCTGTAATCCCAGCTCTTGGGACACTGAGGCAGGAGTGCTGAGTTGGAGGCCGGCCTGGGCTACGTAAGCAAGTTCCAGGCCAGCCTGAACTACACAGCAAGACCTTGTCTCACAAAAATAAATAGAACACTTTTTATTTTCAGAAACACGCTATGTGAGAAAGAAAGGAGCTGTCTGTGCGTGGCTGCTCCTGAGACACTACCCTATCCGCAAGGGCCAAGGGCGTATCAGCAGCTGCCGCTTCTCACTGATGGCTGGGAATAGACCTAGAACACCAAGTAACCTCCCAGCACGTCGGGCCAGCGACAATCAAAAAACATCCAATACCACAACCACCTTCCGCACAGCCTGAATCACACTTTTTGTCGTTGTTTTTTTGAGACAGGGTGACAGGATCTCACTATGTAGTTCAGGCTCACCTTGAGCTCACTATATAGCCTAGACTGGTGATCCTCCTGCTTCAGCCTCCCAAGTGCTGGGATTACAGGCACGGACCACCACCACGCCTGGCCAAGTCACACTTCCATATCATTACCTTGAAAGGAAGATAGATTTGCGCAGCTAATTTCCTGAGTAGGGTTGAAGGTGGACGGGAACCCAGTCGGGCTAAAGTTATACAGCAAAGTCTCCTTGATGCCCTCCGCCAGCACCCATCAAGCAAGGTCAACTATCAGCTTTCATCCTTTACCCACAGGCTTTCACATGACAACTAAAGCTTTCATTGGTAATCATCTGCCCAGTGCAACAAGCTTCTGGAGTTAGGTGCTGCTGGATTACTCTCTCCCCAAATGTCGCTTTGTCACCTCATGCTTCTTGGTATGGTGCTAAGAGGCTCCTAGCTGCTGGCAGACACGCGTGCACAGAGCACAGCTGCAGGACTCTGCCCCACCCCAGTGAACATGAGGACAGATGGGGGCAGAGGGGTGTCAGACAGGGCTGGGGATACAGCTGGTCACAGGGACCTGTGGACACTGAAAAGACACAAGGCAGGGGGCCTCACACACCACCGAAGGCCTATCATGACCTTCAAAGTCCCCAGGTGGGAAGGCCTGTCTCGGAGCAGGGCCTGGTTCTCCCAAAGCCAGGCGTTTCTCAACAGGGCCACTTCCCGCTCCCGCATCTGAACCGGCCACAGGCCGCAGCCCTTTCTACTGGGCGCCGTGCCTGCCACCCAGCTTCTCATCCTGCTCCCAGATCTCCCAGGACTGAGACCTCCAGAAGGAGGCCCAGAGGGACCTACAGAGGAAAACTCTCCTGGGCCGCGGCCCCCAAGGTCCTGGGACACGAGTTGGGGTCGGGATGACACCACAGGCTGTGACACCTACATGCACCTGAGAGACAACACAAGCATCTCCGAAGGCGGCCTTCAGAAGCGCAAGCCGGTTCTGGACAGGTGCTTGGGGGCATTTCCAAATGCGAGCATAGTCACACCGGAGTGGGGAGCAGTATGACCAACTTGACTTTTCCTTTTTCTTTTTTTTTTTTTTTGTGGGCAGGAGGGGTAGTGGTGGTGGTGATGGTACTGGCGGTTGAACCCAAGGCCTTTGCACTGAACTGTATCTCCAGCCTTTTTTTTTTTTAAATTTTGAGACAAGGATTCACTAAGTCACTAAATTGTCCAGGGTGGACTGGAACTTAAAATCCTCCTGCCTCAGCCTCCCAGAATGCTGGGATTATAAGCACGAGCCGTCACGCCCAACCCAGCTTGTCCTTCTGTAGGCTGCTATGTACCTACTGACTCTTTTAGAAAAACAGACATTTACACGATGGACAAAGGACAGCAGGACAGGACATGGGAAGATGATGCCTGGGTCCTACTCAACACCTGTCCAGTAGGGCAGGACACGGGAAGATGACGCCTGGGTCCCACTCACACGCTACCTGTCCACTGGGTGCAGATGAGCTCTCTGCTTGGCTTAAGTCAAAGCTCCCCTATTAATAACAGCTTACATGTGAGGCTTTGCTCCAGTGTGAGATTCAGCTAGAATCGAGGAGGTGGTGAGGGAACCGGGAAATTCCTGTGGGAAAAGAACCTGAGGTTCTCAGTGGCCTCTCCCGACTGCTGAGTGGCAGTCATTTCCCAGTGCTTTCCACATGTCCTCTGCCGGCCGCAGAAAGCCCTCCCCCGCCTCCCGTTACCTGCCGTGAGCCTGATCTGCTTCTGCTGCCTGGCCCGCAACCTGCGCTCCACCGCCAAGAGCCCCTGGCTGTTAAATCCGCACCTGCGCACACAAGCCAGAGAGAGGGCGAGATTAGAAGGCAGCAGCACAGCCGTTTCCACCAGACTTACAACTTTGGAAAAACAAGAGACAATCAAAAGTCACTCCTTAGACTTCCAAGATCTAAACATCGCTGGGAGTCCCAGGGAACCTGCCAGAACACCTCCGGCACAAAGGGAAAGATTAAAGTGCGTGAGCCGGCTGCTCAGCCAGCGGATGCCAGAGACAACCCAGCAGGACCCGGCCTCCTGCCCGGAGAGCGCGCTCCAAGGCCCCATCCGAGAAGCCCAGGCTTCCGCCTCTGCCAGGGCTGCCTCTGCCAGGGCTCCCGCACTCCTGCCGGAGGCCGCCCCGCCCCCCACTCCCCACCCTTTCCGTCTGCTCCTCCTGGCAGGATCAGCTGCCACCTTCCTCCTCCCTGCATAACCCCAGGGCACAGCGGATCCTCCTCCCTTGACACACGGGGCCCTCTGTACCCAGCTTCCCCTGGCTGAGGATGTACCAATGGGCTGAGGTTCCCCACAGGGTTAGAATCGTCTTGAGGGACAGAGTCAGGCCTTAGGTCGTTGTCACTCTGCCACCGGGCACCCAGGAAGGCAAGGACTTCGTCTCTCAGTCCTGTATCCCAGCCCCGCTGTGGGCTGACGGCCTAGTGACCCCCCACTTCCCGTTCCTCTTCATGTGTGGGGTCCACGTCCCTGGGTACCCTGGAAAAATGTTCATGATTCAAAGCGTTCCCAGTCTTGCTGACAACTGAAGCGTGATATGGGGCCGGGGGTGGCCACTAAGACGTGGGCGACGTGGAACAACGTCTCTGCGAGTCCCCCTCCTGCCCTTTTCCCTTTCTGCTCCTGGATGTCCACGTGAGGACGCAGTGCTTGGAGATGGAGCAGAGTCTTGCAAACAGCAAGGAAAGACAGAAGCTGGGCCAGTCTTGACATTACCTGGCCACACAGCTCCTAAACTGCCCACTCACATGTTATGAGAATAATAAGAAATGCCTGCTGCCTGAGCCACGACATTACTTGCAGCCAGAAGCAGCAGAACAGGTGAAGTGGCACGTGTATTCGGTACTTAACAGCATTCATTGAGCACCCACTACACGGCACCTGGAGCTCGGAGACTGAGCGCTCCAAGTGCCTGTGGGCAAAGCTCCCTGTCCCACAACACTCAGAGAGAGGATCCTGCTGAGCACCATCGTCCTGCGACCTGCAGTTACCTGTGGCAGCTCAAGCAGAAGCACATGTACTTTGCCTGGCTAGTTCTAAAGATCTCGGTCCCTCCCTGAAATGCAACAGAAAGATCAATAACTTGATCTCTGATATCAGGAAATTTCCCCCAAACTGGCACAACACAGCAAGACACAGCTGAATAAACGTGCTGGCTCAGTCTCCCCAAAGGCAGCCCCAAAGACACCGACCAAAACCTCCCCAAGGAGGCTCTCCAGCGTTGTTACCAAAACCTAGGAACTTCTTCACCTTCTGGGTTTGCTGTAGTAAAAATCACCCAGGGTGACAAAAAGAAGGGCTTTATACCATCTAGAAGGACTTCCCTTCCTAAAAGCAGCCATGTACACTGAATAGGAGATTTTCCTGTTTATTCTTGGACAGCAAGGGCTGCCTGTCCAATACCAGGGCTGCTGGCCACACAGGACTTCTCAGCTCTGGAAGTATGGCTAGTCCACTCCGAGAGGGGTCAGAGGACACACCAGTGGTGGAAGATCTGGCACAAACTATAAAGTGCCCACAAACTGCAGCTGTGCCCAAGCTCCCCCAGCCATCTCGTCTCTGTGATGGTAACACAGGTACGTAGCTCTCCAAGCTTCCGTATGCCTATTGGTTAAACTGAATTAGTAACACCTGCTTTCCAAGGTGGGCACGAGAACCCATGCCTGGCACCCAGCAGATAGATACTCAACAGAGTTCCCGAACATTCCACATGACAGAAACGTGTCCACATCCTACAAGACGGAACACCAAGCTCTGACAGCCAGGCAGGGCAGACGCTGGGCCACGACCCACCTGTTAATGACAGCTTTGTCCTCAGGGAGGCGGAAGATTCTGGGCCTGGGGTTTCCTTCCTGAGGCTGGGGAGTCACGCTTCCTACCTCAACAAAGCCAAAGCCCAGCTTGAAAAGGCCATCCACCGCTTCCCCGTGCTTGTCAAATCCTGCAGCAATTCCCACCGGGTTTCGGAACTTATGGCCCAGGACTCTCACTTCCTGGGAAGAGGGAGACAAAATCAAAGGTACACAGAGCTAAAGTGTGGTCTCCGGCATGCCTACAGGGGAACTCTCGGGGGAGCTGGTTAGCCATGCCAGGAGTACAGGATCAGAATCTATTTGGGGGCCAGGGATGTAGCTCAGCAGCACAAGCTCCTGCCTGGAAAGCACAAGGTCCTAAGTTCAATTCCCAGCACCAAAAAAAAGAAAGAAAAAAAAAAACAGACTCTATTTGGGGCCATGCTCTCCAGGTGGGGCTAAGGCCTGCTGGAATCTAAAAACATGAGTCTTTATAATAATCAGGTGGGGGAGAGAAAACTAGCCTTCCACCCATGGGTTGAACAGAAGCAGAGCACCGTCTTCTGCAGTTCTGATAAGAATCAGATCTTCTTCTTACCAGCATGGGCAGCTGAGAGAGGCTTATTGGTTTTGGCCCCTGGGTCATGATACCCTGGAGCCACACACAGCAGCAAGAGCTGGTAATCAGCCCTAGCTGATGAACACACCGCCCCAGCTGCGGCGGCTGATAAGACGCTCAGGCAGTCTTCCCTGGGCTCCGTAGGGGGCAGGAGGAGGGGCGGGCTCAGCCAAGCAGAACGCAGCGCTGGCTCTAGTGGCCTAGGGGAGGACAAGGTGCAAAGCAGGAGGGCACTGCCCTCGGGCCCTCCTTGAGGAGCACCTAGGTGGCTTGCAGGCTGGCCTCAGAGGTTGCGGCTAAACTGGTCTGGCATGAGGAAGAGCATCCGCTACTCCAAAAGTTGGAACCATGGGAGGTTCAAACCCACAGCCAGGACGGCGAACTGAGGATGTAGGGAAGTGCTGGAAATCTTAAGCGGAAAAGCAAACAAGGGTGAAAGCATCAAGAGCCCCGGCTGTCAGTTAAGGAGCCGGGAACACTGGTCCAGGCCTGGAGTCCCACCTACTCAGGAGGCTGAGGCAGGAGGTTTGCTCGATCCCAAGGGTTTTTGTTTTCTTTCCATGGTGCTGGGGATCGAAACCAGGGCCCTATGCGTGTAAGGCAAGAGCTCTACCACTGAGCCACAAACCCAGCCCCGAAGCCCAGGAGTTTGAGACCAGCCTAAATAACAACAAAACCACATCTCCAAAAGAAAAAAGCTGAGGCCGCAATCCACGTGAGCGACTACAGGTACAGACCACGCAGCAGTGTGCAGGGCCACGGAGGGGCCACAACAGGTGACACGGCGGCTCAAAACTGCAGGGGGCTGGGGGGGGTGAAGAGGGTCCCGGGGGTAGGTGGGAGCGGAAACTGCAGTGAAGGGCCCTATAACCCCAAGGGGGTCTGAGTACTGCTCGCTCCAATTCCATGTTCAAATCCTTCTGCTGTGTCCCAGTGGTAGGAAGTGTCCCGAAGGACACTGCCAGGCCTTGCCTGGCACACGGCGCGGCCACATGTGTGCAGCGTGTGGGTGAATGAGATGAAGCCGGGCCTGACGAGACACAGCTGCCTCCCCACAATGTCCCCCGTTTGGCCGAGGGGAGCGCTGAGCCTCCTGTGACCTCAGCAGGGTAAGACAGTGGCCAAGGCTGGATGCCAGAGCCAGACTCCCAGAGGGTGAGACCTGTTCTGCCACTTCCTAGCTGTGTGACTGACTCTGGGCAAGTCACTGAACTGCTGTGTCTCCCCACCGGAGGACGGGGATCACCGTAGCACTCACTTCATGGAGTCACGGTGAGGATTAAGGATATGGCCCAGTAGGTTGTATAACTGCTATTATGTGATTATGAGTCACACATAATGACTGCTCAGATTGAGCGGCAGATTCCGTCCCCTAACCTGGGGCTCTGGTTTTCCAAAGTTCAGTCCTAGCTGAGAACTGTTAGAGGACTCGTCCTTCACCATGGTTCCAGGAACACCTACCAGCATGTCAGAGTCCTGAAACGTGGCTCGAGGAAGGAGCCCCAGGGAGGTGACGCGAACAGCCAGCCTGTGGGCTGACTCCCCGTCCAGCAGCCCCTGCAGAACTGGCATCAAGTATTCGGCGTAGAAATGCTCGTCCCCCGTGGCTGTCAGGTAGGAGGCAAAGAGAAGTCCTCCACCTCCCAAAGTGACCACGGCATCCAGGGCCCGTTTCTGCAAAAAAAGAGCCTGTTAGGGGCCCCCACTGGGCCACGCTATAGCACCCTGCCCAAGCGCCTTGCATCTAGGCACAGAGAGAACATGAGGACATGGTGAAGTCTCCCCACTTCTGACACTAAACTCCATTTCCTGCTCACACTGGGGCCTCGACAGAGGCTCTGCCTACACTGCTTGCACCCAGTCTGGTGGGGAAGACTTTCCTTACAGTGCCAGTCAGGCCAGGGGTTTTCAGGAGAGGCGGTCGGTCTCTTAGGGCATGTGGGGTCATTTTTACCGGTTACAGTGACCAACAATGCTAACAAACAATGTGCAAGAATCACTAGTCAGATGTTTTTCTTTACTTGAGGATACAGATAGCACAGATGAATTGTTCCACGTCCTCTATGACTTTTGAACACACTGACCTTCGTGTGGGTAGAAAATATTCTGTTTAAATCATCAGAGTCAAAAGGGAAACTATTTCACCACATACTATTTTCCATACTGTTTTCATACCTACTGACTTTTCCAAGAATACAGTTGTCATGTAAACTGAGGGACAACAATACTATCTTGCACCAAGAATTACCAAGAATGAGTCACCCTTTCAGGCAATCCCATCAGGGCTGGTAGAGAACTCTGTTCAGGTTGTGTGACAGTACAGCACATGTGTAAGTACATTTTTAAGTATTAGAAGCTTAAAACACCTAACCATCTCCCTTATCTACGTGAGTTATGTCTCAACACTCACACACTGAAATACATAATATTTTATTAAATTTCTTCTACTGTGGTTAGGAAATATTTCGACACTATAAAATTATAGAGAGCAGAGTACAGGGGTCCACACCTGCAATTCCAGCACTCCAGGCGGAGGCAGGAGGATCAACTGCCACTGTGAGTTCAAAGCCAGCCTGAACTACATAGTGAGACCTGGTCTCAAAAAAAAAAAAAAAATCTGATTAAGCTCAAAGATGGGCAGAAGAGGCCTGGTCCCTTCCCTTACAGTGAATGCAATCTCAAGAGACAAACAAAATCAGTGATCATGCCAATATAGCCATGACAATCCAGTGCGATGAAAAAGTACGTGCTGTGTGCAAAAGCCTTCAAGAGGTGACTTACTCCTGATAGCCGGGATAAACACAAGGTAACTAGGAGGCAGAAGGAAACTATAAAGGATCTCTCGAGGACAAGAGAATGAGAAGCTCCCAGGGAATGGGGAAACAGAAAGTTTGTTTGGAATTTGGGAACGCAGGGCTTAAAATGAGGCTGGGGCAGGCAGGAGGGTACTGGCACACGCCCGTAATCCCAGCACTCGGGAGGCTGAGGTAGGAGGATCGTTGAGAGTTCGAGACCACCCTGGGCTACAAAGTGAGCTCAAGGCCGGCTTGAACTGCGTAGCGAGACCCTGTCTCAAAAAACAAAACAAAACAAAAAAACGAGGCAGGAAAAATAGGCGAGGATCTCGGCCAGAATATTGGGTTTTGTTCTCTAACACGATTTGATCAGAAGGATCCCTCCAAGCCGTTAATGTAGGCCACACCTTCGCGATCTCTTTGAGACTGGAGAAACGCCTCGTGTAAACACTGGTGCTCCAAGGACGCACCGGGCCGTAGGATACAACCAAGACCTCGTCACAGAGCTCCGCCCGCACAAGCGCTGTCTGACCCTGAAGTTCACTGGGCCTAGGATCCTGCGCACACGGCCAGCGGCCGCGGGTCCACTATGACCCCTGCACCACGCTCAGCACAAACTGGCCCACGTGCACGTAGATCAGCATCTGCCCAGACACACATGGCCTTTACTCCGCTGACCAAGTACACGTGTAAATGCACACGCACCAGCTTTTGAAGCCGCCCCGGAAGATGCACAAGCCCTAGCAGTCCCATTCCCTCCACACCCCGCCGGACCAGACCTCCACTCCGCCCCAGCCCGGACTCTGCCCCACCGCCGCCGCCGCAACCCTCGCTTTCCAAACTCACTCTGAGATGTGCCCACGCCATGCTGCTTATGCCACTGCGCTCGGCTTACTCGCTCACCCAGCTACCCCAGCAGCTCCTCCCGGGAGCCTCCAACCCACCAATGGGCGGGAAAAAGGGTGGGGCGGGCGCGTCCACTGCGGGCGGGGCGGAAGGGGGTGGGGTTTCCACGTGGACGCTCGGGCGCGTGCGCGCTCCCTCAGGCCCCGCCTCTTCCGCCCCTCAGCTTCCCGGCGTCCTCTCGTTGCTAGGTTTCACCCGGGTGTTGGCAGCTTCAGGGCCTCCGGAGGGAAGCAGCCTGCATCCTGGTTGTTGCCGTGCAGTTTTTCTGGTTTTTGTTTGTTTGTTTGTTTAATTAGCGCACGTTTGCCGGGCGTGGTGGCGCACGCCTGTAATCCCAGCACTCTGGAGGCTGAGGCAGGAGGATCGTTTCCAGTTCAAGGCCAGCCTGAACTGCATAGCGAGACTCTGTCTCAAAAAGGCAAAAAGTTAAAAATAAAAAAATTATTGCATGTTTGCAGAACATGTCTCAGAGAGTTACTACACGTACACAACACATCCCAGTTTTTTTAATCTCCTACTCCCCTCCCTCCCAGCTCCTTGCAATTCTCCATCCCATCCATTTACAAAAGCTCTATTTTCATCATTTTTTCTTTCCGTTCTTGTTTTTAGTCTTCCTCCCTCCCTCTCACCCCTCCCTGCATCTCTTGTTCCCCTATCCTTTTAAAAAAGATCTTCCTACTTCCTATTTATCAAATATATATATTTTTTAGTTTCTCATATAAGAAATCGGGTGATATTTAAGCTTCTGCGTCTGGTTTATTTCACTTAACATTATGATCTCAAGGTGCACCTATTTACCTACTAATGCCTCAAGTCTATCTGTGGCAGAATAGTTCTCCACTGTGTGTTCGTACATTTTCTTTATCCATTCATCTGTTAATGGGCATATAGGTTCCAAGATTTAGCTGTTATAAATTGTGCTTCAGTACACATGGATGCATGTGTCACTGTAGCATGATGACTTTAACTCTTTCAGTAAGATACCTAGAACAGGAATAGCTGTATTAAATGGAATTTCTATTTTTAGTTTTTTGAGGCACCTCAGCACTGGTATCCATAGTGTACATTCCCTCCTACAGTGTAGAGGGTTCCTTTCCCCCCACACACACAGCCTTCTGGCATTTATTATTCTTTGATTTCTTTTTCTGTTTGTTGTATGAGACAAGGTCTCCCTATGTAGATCAGACTGGCCTTGAACTCACTGGGTAGCCCAGGGTGGCCTCGAACTCATGGCAATCCTTCTGCGTCAGCCTCCAGCGTCCTGGGATTACAGGTGTGCACCACTGGCCCTGGCAGGATTCTTTCATTTCTTGATGATTGTTATTCTTGCTGGAGTAAGATGGCATCTCGATGTTATTTTAATTTGTATTCCTGCAATGGCCAGCAATGTTAAATATAGTTTCGTGTTTTATTGGCCATTTGTGCTTCTTAGAAATATCCATTCACTTCAATTGCCAATTTTCTCAATTTATGTTTTTTTCAACTGAATCTTTTATTTTGAGGAAGTCTAATTTTTAATTTTTTATGTAGTCTACATGTTAGTCCTCTGTCTGAGGAATACCTGGCAAAATTTTTTTCCCATTCTGTAGATTGTGTTTTCACTCAGCTGTTTCCTTTGCTGTGCTGGAGTTTTTAAATTTGATATGATCCCATTTGTTGATTCTTGGTACTATTTTCTGTGCCATTGGGGTTCTGTTCAGAAAGTCTGTGCTTACACCTATATCTTTAAGAGTTTTACCTTTATTTTCTTCCAACAGATCATTTTAAAATTTAGATCTTTGGTCATTTAGATTTTAGTTTAGTACATGATAAGATATGGGTCTAGAGTCTATTTTCTGTAAGTGGATATCCAATTTTTTCCAGCACCATTTATTAAAAAGGATATCTTTCTTCTAAGGTAAGCTTTTGTCCACTTTGTCAAAGATCAAGTAGCTGAATGTGCCTAGAGTTGTTTCTGCTTCCTCTATTCTGTTTCATTGATCACATACCTGTTTTTATGCAACTACTATACTGTTTTAATCACAGTGGCTTTGCAGTATAACTTGAAATCTGGGATGGTGATGCCTCCTACTTTTTTTTTTTTTTTTTTGTAACCCAGGATTGCTTTTGCTATTCTGGGTCTCTCTGGTTCCATATAAATTTTAGGATTATTTTCTCTAGATCTGTGAGGAATGCTGTTGGTATTTTGATTGGGATTGCATTAAATCTACATATCAGTTTTGGAAGTATAACCATTTTGATTTATTGGTTCTGCCTATCTGGGAACAGGGAATATCTTTCCATTTCCTGATGTCCTCCTCGATTTCCCTTTTTGGACCAATGTAATTTAGGTATTTAATTTTTCTTAATGCTATTGTAAAATGGTGGTGTTGTCCTAATTTCTTTCACATTGAGTTTGTTATTAGGAATGCTATTGATTTTTGTGTGTTTATTTTATATCCTGCTATGTTGCTGAATTTGGTTATTAATTCTGGGTGTCTTTTGGTGGGATTTTTGGGGTTTTAAAAGTGTAGGATCATGTCATCTACAAATAATAACACTTTTTCTTCATCCTTTCCTGTATGTATCTCTTTTATTTCTTTCTCTTGTCTGATTGTTCTGGCTAATGTTTTGAGAACTCTTTTGAACAGGAGTAGTAATAGTGGACATCCTTGTCTTGTTACTGATTTTAGGGGTAAAGCTTTCTGTTTTCCCCCATTTAATATGATATTGGCAGTTAGTCATAACTGGCTTTTATCAGATTAAGATAAGGTCTTTCTTACCTATTTTCATCAGGGTTTTTAACCATAAATGGATATGGAAATTTTCTCAAAGCCTTTTCTGCATCTGTTGAGATGATCATGTGATTTTGTTCTTCCTTCTGTTTGTGTGATGAATTACATTTATCAATTTGTGTATGTTGAATCATCCTTGCATCACTGGGATGAAGCCTACTTGGTCATAATGTATGATCTTTTTTTTTTTTTTAGCTTTGTTGCATTCTGTTTGCCAGTACCTTGTTGAAGATATTTATGTCTATGATCTTGAAAGAAACTGGCCTATAGTTCTCTTTTTAGTTGGATCTTTGACTGGTACTGGAATCAGTGTAATGCTAGCTTCCAAGGATGATTTTGGGAGTACTCATTCCCTCTTAATTTCATTAAAGACTTTGAGGAATTTTTTGAGGGGGAGTATTTGACATTAGATCTTCCCTGAAGCTCTTGTAGAATTCGGCAGTGAATCCATCAGGCCCTGAGCTTTTCTTGGTTTGTACTTTTATCTTTTTTATTGCTGTTTCAATCTCATTGCCTATTATTGGGATTTTTAAGTCTTCTTGGTTCAATTCTGTTATTTCATATATATCTAGGAGTCTATTTCTTCAGAGTTCTCCAAAGTTTTAATGTATACCTTTGTGAAGATTTTGCTAATAATATTCTGGATTTCAGCAGTGCCTACTGTGATTTCACCTTTTTCATTTCTCATAGCATTATTTATGTCCTTT